AAATGAAATCAGCTATTTATAGAGGCAGTGAATGGAAGTGGCTAAAAGTCTTAATAAGGTAAAATTATTGCATTAATCTGGGTAGTAAGGTAACATTTTATTCTCTGTTTTTATTTAACTGTAATCAAACTTCATTTATTTAGGTAAAGATTGAAATGAAACTAATTTAACTGGAGAACGTCTGAAAACACTGAAATGATTATAGTTACACTTTGTTCCAGTTAAAGTGATGTCTGCATTTCTACTCATTTTTAGCTTAGCGCCTTGATAACTTTAAAAACATGTTTCACACTTAGCTTACCCTAAAAAAACTTTTCTTGATAAATTCTAAAATCAGGGTGTTAATTTATAAAATACATGAAATATGAATCGTTTCATGACCTGATCGAGGGCAACATCATGCTGTAACTAAGCCCTTTAGCATTAGCTTTATCTAAATACTGCACTGGTACAACACTTTAGCAATAGATTTAGCTAATTACTATGAAGGTTTAGTGCTTTAATGTCAACTTTCTTTAAATTCTGTTAGTGTAGCACTTTAGCATTAGCAACCCCTAATTACCACATTGGCATAGCTAACTGGGATAATTAGTGCTTTATGGTTAGCAGTGCTAACTTTCTGGTTAGCAATGCTAACCAGAGCCCAGAGACATTATTCTTCTGATCATATTCAATGTCTTTGAGATGAAATATAGTCTAATAATTACTAACGTCTTTTCTGCAGATGCATCGTTACAGTCGGTCGTCATGGAAACACAGTTATCAGCGACTGATAACTGATGGATCAATATTTTACTGTTTCAAGGCTTCCCCAGACTGTAATGCTCCTGTGTTTGTGTTGAGCAGAGCGTGTGGGGTCACGCCGGGCGCTCCGTGAGCCCCCGGTCCTCCAGCCTGCGGCAGGAAACGGGTCATTAAGCTGCGCAGGAAATCGCGGCGCCGCGTTAAACCGGATTCCTGGGAGCGATCCGACACGCGGCGCCGTGACGGCTCCGCCTGATGGATGCGTCTCGTCTGAATGTTTCATCAGAGCAGCGGGAGGCTGAGCGCAGCCGCATGCTAACACCAGCCATCATCATCATCATCATCATCATCATCATCATCATCACCTCTGGGTTATGTTCAACTCGCCTCATATTCTGACATGAGTCCATCCTCAGAGTCTGGAGCCGATAATCTGCTCAGATTATTGAGTTTGTCAGTGAGAAGATGAGAAATGAATCCTGAGAGGAGATTAATAAAAGACAATAGAGGTTATTATGTGTCTCATTACAGCAGGTCCAGTTCAAACACTGATGTTATTACATCACAAATAACCTGAAGTGATCAGTTTTCTAAGAAAATTGGTCATTTTATGAAAATAATTCTCTTCTAACAGAAAAGATCCAATCAGCTGATCTCCTGCAACAAGGCTGCTGTAAAAACCGGACATTTATTTTAACTATAAATGTTTGTGATCCATTTATAGTTAAACGTGTTTATTCTTCTTTCAGTGGAGGAACTGGAGGTGGGAAGTTACCCATGAAAAACGGAAACTTCAAGACAAACTCAAATACCAAAAACTTCCAGCGTAAACCGCTGAACTCGCTCCACCGCTGAAGTCCTCCAGACCACTAGGGGGAGCGTTTGTGAGTGTTGCCATTTCCATCATACATGTTTTTGCAACATTTTTATCCGTTTCCTGCTGTTAGCATCGTCAGCCACCGTAAGGCAGAGCAGCCACAAGCTCCAGTCCTCAGAGAAGAGCAGAAATATTCATCCTGAGATTCCTCCAGCAGATGGAAATGTCTCTGGAACCGAAGCGGAGCTTCAGTCTGTTTCCATCTTCATAAATAAAGTTTTTTTCGTCTCTACAGTCTGGTTGTTTCCTGGTTGTTTGCTCTGCTCTTGTGATTTTCTGCTGAAACTGGTCCTGTGGTTCTGTTGGAGCGGTTGGGCCGAGCCGCCAGCCAGCAGCATCGCCTGCCGCCGCCGGCTGCTGCTGCTGCTGCGCTCCTAATGTCCTGATGGACCCTGACTGCGCTCGCTCTTCCTGCGCCTACTGGGCGGCTAATGCAGTTACACTGTCAGATCAGCAGGGGGCTCCCTCCCGCTCTGTGTGTGTGTGTGTGTGTGTGTGTGTGTGTGTGTGTGTGTGTGTGTGTGTGTGTGTGTGTGTGTGTGTGTGAGAGGCGGGACTCCCCTGCTGCAGGTTTACGGTTAATCAATCATGGAGGCGCCTTAATGACACCCTGCTGCTTCCCTAATGTCTGCTGGCAGCGGCCGCCTGCAGCTGGCTCCCGCCTCACGCAGGCACGCAGATGGCCGCCTCGCTGACTGACGGGCCCGCTCACACACTTACACACACTTACACACACACACACACTTACACACACACACACACACACACACACACACACACACACACACACACAACGCCGCTGGCTGGAGGTGAAGAGGAGGAGGATTCTTCGGCCTCGCCTGGCTGCCTCTGCCCCGCAGCTTTCCAAATGCAGAAGAAGAAAATCCAGAAAGTTTGTCTGCAAACACCTGGAGAAGCAGCAGAAACACAACAAGCTGGAAAGAGCAACACGACGCCCAGCTCAGCTCACGCTGATGTTTGCATCAAGGTAATCTGAAAAGTGTGGCATGCATCTGTATCCCAGAGTGGCTGACAGACGAAAATATCCCAATGAATGATGCAAAACAGAAACAATGCAACAGAAAAGATGCTGCAAACAGAATGAAAATAAAAACCTTCAATTAACAAACTAATGGAAATAAAATGTTTTTGGATCCAGACTGTAGAACGTTTGCTTTGTTTACATGAAACCACAGAAGAAGAGTTTCCTTCTTTGGGTTTGAATTTGAAACTTAATTCAGATTCTGAAACCTGAATGTTTGGACCTGCTTTGAGTCTGTTTCCTCTCCAGGTCTGTGGGACGTCGTGCCGACGTGGTTTTATGTTCTCTGTTTGCAGAAGGTAAAATCACCTCCAACACAGTGAGCTTCGGTGAGTTGAGTCCATTTGGTTCTGCAGAGACGTTCCTCCCATCCGGACCGCCAGCGGCCGCAGTGTGAGCTGCAGGTCCATTAGCATGCAGGTGGCTGCGGCTCACAGGCCCATCTGTCCGTTGGATTGCTTTCTAATTTCTGCTGCTTGTTGTTGTCACCCTGTCGGCGCACACGCTGCCTCCTCTTCAGCCGGACTGACAGCCGAGCCGCTCTGGAACTAAAACAGCAATCCATCATCCGGGGACACGCGGCGAGGGAGGGAGGAGAAGCTCAGGTACGGAGACGTCCCATCTGCAGGGGAGGAATCCTGCCGTCAGGAAAACGGTCGCAAGTTTCCAGAAGGAAAACTTTCTGAGAGAGAAGTCCAGCTGTTGGACTGAGGGTCAGGTCAACTGTTGCCAAAGCGATTATTTTTATTAAACAACTGGGTCAGCAGAATAAAAGACTTTCAGCAGGTATTAAAATACTTAGACAAATGTTTCTACTCAGTTGAACTCGTCTACTGGTTCACTGCTATAAACCAGCAACTGTCATAGCAGCGGGCTAACAGTTAGCTCTTTAGCTGGACCCGGTTAGCTCACTAGCTGGACCCAGTTAGCTCACTAGCTGGACCCGGTTAGCTCTTTAGCTGGACCTGGTTAGCTCTTTAGCTGGACCCGGTTAGCTCACTAGCTGGACCCACTAGCTGGACCCGGTTAGCTCACTAGCTGGACCTGGTTAGCTCTTTAGCTGGACCCGGTTAGCTCACTAGCTGGACCCACTAGCTGGACCCGGTTAGCTCACTAGCTGGACCTGGTTAGCTCTTTAGCTGGACCCAGTTAGTTCACTAGCTGGACCCGGTTACCTCACTAGCTGGACCTGGTTACCTCACTAGCTGGACCTGGTTAGCTCTTTAGCTGGACCCAGTTAGCTCACTAGCTGAACCCGGTTAGCTCACTAGCTGGACCCAGTTAGCTCGCTAGCTGGACCCGGTTAGCTCTTTAGCTGGACCCAGTTAGCTCTTTAGCTGGACCCGGTTAGCTCACTAGCTGGACCTGGTTAGCTCTTTAGCTGGACCCAGTTAGCTCACTAGCTGGACCCGGTTAGCTCACTAGCTGGACCCAGTTAGCTCACTAGCTGGACCCGGTTAGCTCACTAGCTGGACCCAGGATGCTGCCATTGCTGGTCTTAATGGTGAACAGCAACGGCCTAAATAAAGTTGGACCGCCAACCACACTATTAGAGCAGCTAACGATATTAATGTTTCTATTTCGGCCGCTAATTATTTACAGACATATTTCCCTTCTCACATGGAGAAATACCTTTTTCCTGAAGCAGTATTTGGGTGTACTAACTGCTCCCACCAGTTTGGTTTATGAACGCTAATCTTCTTACCTTGCTGTTGGCTGCGAAGCCGTGAAAACCGGCGGGCCGCCAGGCGGCTGAGGCTGCGTTCAGCGCCATCTTCTTTCCTCATCGAAATGTTTACAAAAATTGACGTTTGGTTTTCCGACCCACAGAACTCAGACCATTTCTACACTGAAATCTCCAAATACAAGCCATATTGGGCGAAAGCCGTTTATCGATAAGCATTTTAAAGTTGAGGCGCACAGCTTGTTTTGACTTCCGGTGTCATGGCGGCTGGGCCGCTGAACAGCGTGACGTAAAGAGCGAAAATGAGTATTAAGTAATGCTGCCATTGAACTGGTGGATAGTTTGCAGCATTTGTGATTTGTTCTTCACATTTCAACATTTGAGTCACATTTTACCTTTAAAGAGCAGTGAATCTACCATGATCTTATTTCATTGAGTCGAGGAGGCAGTATTATTAAAGTTTAATCTGTGTCCCTGCCCACAAACTGTATTTAATGTCATCAAACCGCTAAAATACATGAACATTAATTTCTGATTGTTTCCTAAAGTTGTCTGCTGCCATCTAGTGGCCAGGCGGCGCTATTGCAGCATCATAGACCCGGTTCAGGTCCAGAATGTTCTTCTTTGGTTCCTCAAACAAAATAACAATCGAGTTTATGAAAAACACATTTTATTAGTGTGTGGTTCCGGCCCAGCGGACCGCTCAGAACTCATTCCTATAAATAACTTGAGGCGGGTCCAGCTGGAACTGATCAGAACCAAGAGCCCTTCTGTACAGATCTGGATCGTTAAACTGAACGCCTTTTCACGGAGCGTGGCTGTCGGACCGGTCCAGCACTAGCTCAAAACTGGTCCAGAACCGGGTCAACCCAAACATCAATAGGACTCCGGGTCGACCCAAATGTCCTGACGTAACAAGCAGGACGATCCTGCAGGAAATGTCATTCAGAGCGTTTCTCTGGATCTGGCTAGAAGACCCGGTCGAACTCGGTCTGGCTGGTGGTGGCCGGGTTCCGGTTCTGGTTGGGCTGCTGCTGCGGCATGTGGCCCCTGCGCCGGGGCGGGGCCAGGTACTCGAACATGGACGTGTTGTGCGTGGACAGCATGTTCTTGAGGTCGGACGGCATGGGGTCGGACCAGAAGAAGTCGTGATTGAGGGCGTCGTCGCTGTCGACCCGCTGGGCCGGGTCCAGAACCAGCAGCTTGTCGATCAGGTCCAGGGCGTACGGGTCCTTGACGTAGGCCTTTAGCCGATCCTTGACCTTCCTCTTCTGGCCCTTGGGCAGCTCCATCTTCTGGTACAGCTCGTACTTCTTGTCCACGGCGGGCCAGGCCTCAGCCGTGATGGAGCCGCACAGCTGGCTGATGAGGGTCAGCTGGTGCTGCTCCGTGTTGCCCTGCATGATGGGGCTGCGGGTCCACATCTCCGCCATGATGCAGCCCGCCCCCCACAGGTCGATGGGCGGCCCGTAGTCCCGCTCGCCTGGAGGGGAAAGAGCCAGAGTCAGCAAACACAGCTCCCCCTGCTGGACTAATGACCAAAATGCAGAAACTGCTCCCCCTGCTGTTTCTATACACTCAATACATCAAAACCTGGCATTTAATCCAGTTTTCCACCACAACAATAAACATTTCTGTGTGGAGGTCAGATGCCGAAATTATTAGGAACCAGAACCAGCATGTGGTTTCTCACCCAGCAGCAGCTCTGGCGGTCGGTACCACAGCGTGACGACCCGGTTGGTGTAGCGGTTCCCCTGGCTGTTCTTGGCCAGGCTGAAGGCCCGGGCCAGGCCAAAGTCGGCCAGCTTCAGGACTCCGTCTCTGGTGATCAGGACGTTGGCCGCCTTCATGTCTCTGTGCAGAATCTGAGGCAGAACTGGAACGTTAGCAGACGTCAGACACAGAAGCAAAAGCAGAAGCAGAACCGGATCGGGCTCACCTTGTTTCGGTGGATGTAGTAGAGGCCGTTGAGCAGCATCTGCATCACCTTCTTGATCTCGGCCAGGGTGAACTTGACGTTGGCGTTGCTCAGCAGGCCGGCCAGGTCATGTTCGCAGAAGTCAAACACCAGGTAGATGGAGCCCTTGTAGCGGTTGAACTGGGTAGCTGGGCAAAACACAAGGAACCGTGAGAGCTCTGAAAGTAGGTCGGGCCGGTACCATACCTGGAGGACCAACCTTTGGTTCTGCAGATCTCGATCAGGTTCACTACGTTCTCATGCTTCAGCAGCTGCAGGATCTTGATCTCCCTCAGAGCCGTGATGGGGAACTGGAGGAACCAGGTCAGAACTCATTTCAGGTCAGAACTCATTTCAGGTCAGAACTCATTTCAGGTCAGTAGAACCCAGTGGGACTCGGGTCAGAGTCCAGTTTCTTACCCCTTCCTTCTCGTTCTCCATCAGAACTTTCTTCAGAGCGACCTTCTTCCCGGTCTGCCGGTGCTTGGCCTTGAACACTTCCCTGTCAGTGAGAAGCAAACGATCACAGATCGTCCTGAGACCGGACCGGAAGTGTAGCGAACGCAGTCAAGCATTTTCTTTATGTATATTTTGGGAAATACTGTTTGATTTGGTTAATAACGTTATCTGACCACTTCAGCAATTACGTCATCACTTGGTCACGTGATGCTTTCGATAAAGGGCTGTAAGTTTCGTTTCATACTCAGTTGGGTTTTGCAAGCGGTAATAGGAAAGACAAAGAACTGAAATTTGGAAGAAATGGACTTCTAGCAACTCCTAACCTTCTGGTTGGAGGGGCATACGGTATGGACAATTGAATGGAATATTCTTGTGTTTGTATATGTGTAATAAGTTTCATTTGAACAATTTATATATAAGAGAACATGACGGTTTAACTGATGTATATTTGCCACTGTGTATTTTATTGCAGTGTTCACGGTGGTCTTGGGCGTTTATGTGACAGAAAATTCCTTTAATAAACGTTTGGAACCATCAGTCGGAGCGTTGCATCTTCATCAACCAGTGGAAAAAGTTGGGAGCAGCTATAGTGAACACGTATGCCCCTCCAACCAGAAGGTTAGGAGTTGCTAAAAGTCCATTTCTTCCAAATTTCAGTTCTTTGTCTTTCCTATTACCGCTTGCAAAACCCAACTGAGTATGAAACGAAACTTACAGCCCTTTATCGAAAGCATCACGTGACCAAGTGATGACGTAATTGCTGAAGTGGTCAGATAACGTTATTAACCAAATCAAACAGTATTTCCCAAAATATACATAAAGAAAATGCTTGACTGCGTTCGCTACAGGAAGGTCCGACAGAACCTCTAGGAAAATACGAACACAGCTCACCTGATGTATGGATGAGTTTTATATGAACTAAAATGTTTACAAATACATCTGTTAAAATGGAGAATCTGTGGCCTGAGCTAGATCTGATGTTCTACCTCTAACTTTTATTACAGTGAAAGTAGCAATTCTCTCTGTGGTTGTAGGTTTGATTCAACCAGGATTTTCTGTTTTTGAAGGTTTAACTGATCAGAAAACGCACTTTAAAAATACTGGCTAAGTTCAAACCGAGTTAGCTCAGGTCTATAACACCTAAAACAGCGGAAGCGGCCTTCAGGTTCTGGTTCGGAAGCTAATTCCAATCATTTTCTGAAGCCAACAAGGAGAAGCTGATCGTGTTCCTCACCCAAAGGTTCCCTGTCCGATCTTGGCCATCTTCTCATACTTGGAGAACTCGTCGCAGAACGGGAACTCCACTCCGTCGTAGTATTTGGACATGATGGCGGCCTCACGGTCGGGCCTGCGGAGGGAAATAAAAGCCGTTTTTCACCTCCATCTGGAGAACAGAGAGCTGGGCGCGATAAAAACAGCTCCATTGACGAGCCAGGTAAATAACTGGAGAGCATTATTGAGAGAAAATGAGAGAAATTCTTACTTTTCAACCGCGGTGGCGTTGCTTGTTTTCTCTCGCTGCATCTCGGCGCCGGAAGTGACTCTTCTTTGGATTGATCCAGCAGCTGATCAAATAAAAACCCGGAGCACTACTGCCGCCAGCTGGAGACCGGCTGCAACTACAACCTGTTGAAACTACAGACATATATGTTTTTCCTGTTACTGCTTTGAATTAATTTTTTTTATCGTAAGAAGTTAGTCCTTTAAATTGGTTATGATGAATAAAGCTTCTTAAAGTATTCTGCATACTGTTTCAGAAAAATAGTTACATTGATTTAAAAAAATCTAATTATCTATGTATTTGTTGAATTTATTCATTAATCATTTAACCCATTAATTTAAAGAATTCATTTATCCTTATTGACAATTCTGTTGTTTAATCAAGTAATTTTAGAAATTCCATCCATTACTTTATGCATATTTTTATTCTTTTGATTTATTTAACAGATCTCATTAGGAATTTGTTTTTTATATATATTTTAATTTATTTTAATCAATTTTTGTCATTTTCTCCATCACTATTATTTAAAATGTAAATTTTAAATGATATATATATATTATTATTGTGTTATTTATTTATCGATTTATCACATTTTAGTAAAATTATTTATTTACTAAACTGTCAAGCTTTTTTATATCAATTTTTAAATCAACATTTGTCCAGGTATCAAATTGTTTAATACTTTATTTATTATCCAACTTTCAACTAGAGTTGCAGAATACGTATTGTCCTTCTTTAGTAATTTATTTATTCCTTTTTATTATTTAATTTATTTATCATTGTTGTAGCTTTGGAATTAAATTTCGCTCAATAAAACATTTTAAATGCGCAGTTCATTCACAGAATGTCTCTTATATTCAATTTGCTTTTTGTTTTTGTGAATCTGTTCAGTTTGAACGTAAATGTTATACTTTATGGTTCATATTTTGACTGTTACGCGCTTACAACCAGAAAATAAACAAAAGACGTGACATGACGTCATCACGCACCTGAAAGGACCCGCCCATATTTGGTCGTGGCCTTATGATGGCGTGTCTGCTGCGCGTGCTGCAGCGGCACTCGGCGTTTCGCGCCTCGTGCAGCGACCGGGACTCGGTGTTCAGGTTGGCGGGCCGGGCCGTCCGGAACCACAGCACCCAGGCGGCTCCTCTCTTCCCCGGAATGGAGTACCAGGTAGGGCGGCAGGAGCGGCGCGGCTAGCCCGTTAGCTCGGCCAGCGGCAGGTTGATAAGTTGGAACCGAACCGTAACTTTGCGCCAGCATGAGGAGACAAACACGGGCCCAGTTAGCGGTACTGGGAGAACAGCAGAGAGCTAATGGAGGCGGCTGGAGCCGCGGTCCACTGGGTCAAAGTACAGCTGGTCAGGTGGACTCCCGGTCCCGATCAGTAGAAGGAGGCGCTGCGACAGAACCGGTTGCTGCCAGTCAGACTAGATGCACTTTGACTAGGCCACTTTGTCACATCAACACCTGGCTGTGTTCATTCTGCTCAGGTGTTTAGATTTGGTAACTTCAGGTGAAAACAGGTTTATTCGATTTAGTGAAACCCTGAGCTCCATCTGCAGAAACATTTTAAATCATGTAGCATAATTGTTTGACCTCTGCTATTTCTATATTTTACGTTTTAAACATGATTTAAAATCTAAAAACTGGGTCCCTTCCTGGACTCAGCCTGTGAGAGCGATTTTATGTAACATGAATATAAATGTGTGTAAACAAACTACACAACATGGCTCCTTCTGGTTTTTTAACAGACTTTTTATTTCAACTGTTTATTTATCTTTCATGAACAATTCCTGGAAATCATTGTTAAGATCTTAAGTTGCGTAAATGTTGTAGTGAAGCCAGGAGGTTCCAGCTGGACGTCCAGATGACGCTGGGAACCAGAGCTACAGAAACATTAATATTCATTAATGTGTTTAATATTTTCAGTATGACGACTAAATTAGCACAGCGGGTCTGACGCACATTAATAAGTACAGGTATTAATTTGAACTCTGAGCGTCATGGTGATCAGAACCGGTTGGGTTTCTGGTCAGCAGCACCAGAACCAGCTGGTTGTGCTTCATTCCCTGCTCTGAGCTTTGATGCGGCACAAAGTTCATCCTGAAATGCTGCAGCCGGCTCACCTTTGAGGAGTTACCATGAAAACAGATTCAGGTGCGCCTATCGTCTCTCCTCCCAGACAGACAACCGGACCAGCTAGCGCTAGCTTAACAGAGCCTGCTGCTTTTGCCAGTGCTGCCTTCAATGAGCGTGGGAAATTTCAGGATCTGTCAGATGAACTAAACCGCCTCTGCTGCTAACAGGGTTCAGCTCCAGCCCTCCTCCCCCAGCATGATGCTGCCACCACCAGTGGCCGAGCCTGTGGGTTAGTTCAGGCTCAGCTCTGCTCCATGTTGGGTTTGGGTCGATGGTTCTACCTGTGTTTCCGGGTCAGGATGTCCTCAGACCTACTTCCTGTCGCAGGACGCGATCTGGACCCTGAACACGCAGAGCAACGCCAGCGTCGTGCAGCAGGCCCGCAGCGGGCAGAGAGACCCCAGCAGCAGCTGCTGGCCATGCCGGGCTTCCTGGAGCGGGCCGGGCTCACGGTGGGTCCGCCAGAACCAGAACCAGAACCTGAACCTGCTCTGCTGCTTCAGGCTGACCCGCTGTGTGCTTTTCAGGTGGAGCAGCTGGATCACCTCAACATCATCCACGTTACAGGGACCAAGGGCAAGGTGAGGCTCTTAAAGGGCCGGTACGCCGACCTGAAGCAAGCACCTGGAACACAGGTTTGACCTCTGACCTCTGACCCCAGCCGCTCTGTTTTCCAGGGATCCACCTGCGCGTTCACAGAGCAGATCCTCAGAACCTACGGCTTCCGGACCGGGTTCTACAGGTGAGTCCGGTCCAGTGATTCCAGTTCTGGCTCAGAACGAACCGACTACAACTCCATAAAACTATTTTGTTTTCAAATCATTTTAATTTAACTTTTACTGCATTTTAAAATTGTATTTTTGATCTATTTATTGATCTATAATTTTATTTAACAGTTTATTTACAACTTTATTTTATTTATACATTTATGTACTTATTTATTTATTTATTGACTTAGTTCAGCATTTTTTGTCAATATATTTACTTTATCATTTAGTTCATCTTTCTATTTATTTAACAAGTTGTTTATAAATTTATGTTCTTCAAAGATTAATTGATCAATTTATGAGTTAGCATTTTATTTTTATCAGTTTATTTGCTTTCTATCATTTATTAGTTTAGAACTGGTCCAGATGTTGAATCATGCTGCCCACAGCATGATGCTGCCACCGCCAGGATTCATTCTGACTCCAGAGGTTCTTCGGAACCGTTTGGGTTCACAGCTGTGGCAGAACCAGTTTAAACCAGTAGACCAGTTTAAACTGGAGCAGCAGCTCCAGGTCTGACTGGTTTCCAGTTTAGGTTTCGGTGAAGCAGGTTAACGTTTCGGTTTAGCGTAGGCGTCTGATTGGACGATGTTCTGCTCTGACTTCCTGTTTCCTGCAGCTCGCCCCACCTGGTCCAGGTGAGGGAGAGGATCCGCATCGACGGCCGGCCAATCAGCAACGAGCTTTTCACCAAGTACTTCTGGCAGGTTTACGGACGGCTGGATAAGACCAAGGTGAGACCGACCAGAACCAGAACAATCAGAGCTGCTGGATGATGCGTTTACAGACCAGAGAGAAAGTCAGACTTTGACCTGCAGATTAGAATCAAACGGTCCGATTGGTCCGGTCCGCACTGGGCCCAGTTCCAGGCAGGAGGAACCAGTTAATGAGTGCTGTGATGGGGCAGAGCGTGACCTCCATGTGACCTCCATGTGACTCCACAGACTGGCTTATTGGAGACGTTCAGGCCTCACTTTGCGTTTTGATGGTGACTGTTTGTCACGTATGGCAAACCCAGAGGACCAAAAATCTTTATATGCAAATGAGCTGCTGCTGGCCACGCCCCCAAACTCTGTGTTTACTCGTCATACAGGTGAAAATGGCTACAGTTCAGTAAGACTGAAGACAGTCAAAGATGATGTCAAATATGGCCAAAATCCCATCAAAACTGTTTTTTATGCCTGAGGCTCGGTGGTGGAGGGTTGATGGTGCGGACGTGAAGTCATTTATTGTACTTGGTAAGTTGATTCTGACCTCTGACCTCAGGAGGCTCATGGAGGGACGATGCCGGCGTACTTCCGGTTCCTCACCATCTTGACGTTCCACGTCTTCCTGCAGGAGAAGGTGAGCTCTCGCCACGCAGCGTCTGATTGGCTGCTTCCCATCGTTGCATCTGATTGGCTGCTTTCGTTCAGGTGGACTTGGCCATCATCGAAGTCGGGATCGGAGGAGCGTACGACTGCACCAACGTTGTCAGGTGGACGTTGTCACTTTAAGGCTGGAAGCTATCCCTCTCCAGCAGAGGGAAATATTAGCTTAGTTTCATTTAGCTTGGTGTAGCGTAGCATAGCTTAGCACCTATTAGTGTCAGGACTGGCTAGATGTTTGGTTCTGTTGTTGAGTTCTGGAGTTTGTTGCTTAGCTTAGCTTAGTGCAACCTGGTGTAGTTCAACGTAGCTTAGCCTCGTATAGCTTAGCATACCTTAGCTTGGTATGGTTAGTTTAGCTTAGCATAGTTTAGCTTAGCTCTGTCCAGCTTATTGGGTAGAAAGTAGATGTCTGGTTTCTGGTTCTGTCGGGTCCTTGTTTTGGGTTCTGGTTCTGGTGTCGCGCTCCAGCCGCTCACTGACCCGTGCGTTCCCAGGAGGCCGTGGGTCTGTGGCGTCTCCTCTCTGGGAATCGACCACACCCAGATTTTGGGCGACACCATCGAGAAGATCGCCTGGCAGAAAGCGGGAATCTTCAAGGTGCAACTGGTTCTGGTTGGGTCGCTGTAGGTCCGGTTCTTCACCCAGGGTTTGACCTTTGACTCGTTTGTGCAGCGGGCGTTCCCGCATTCACGGTCCGGCAGCCTCAGGAAGCCATGGCGGTTCTGAGGGACCGGGCCAGAGAGATCCGGGTGAGTGTCCCGGTCCGGCAGGTCAGCGCCGCCGGCCATCATCCTCACGTCTTGCTGTCTGCCGCTGCAGTGTCCGCTGCGGGTCTGTCCGGACCTGGACCGGTACCAGACGGAGTCCGGCGCGCTGCAGCTGGGCCTGGCGGGTCAGCACCAGCGCTCCAACGCGTCGCTGGCCCTGCAGCTCTGCCACACCTGGCTGCAGAGGAGATGTGGCCCAGGTGAGGAAACGTTCACATCAGGATCAAATCTTCATCAACCGCAGGACTTTGATGACATCACAGTTTTTTCTCACTAAACCAGTTTTCTCGTAAAATTATAAATTTATTTTGCTAATTAATTTTTTTTACTTTTGCTTCACTCGGTTCTTCCGACATTTTTTCTTTTGTTGGAAAATTCTCTGTCAGCCTGGTCAGGTTGAGCTCTGCTGCCACCTGGTGATCGGAGGCCAGTTTACAAGCATAACTAAAGATCCCTGCACCCAAACTATATGAGAGGTTCTGATTGAGAGGTTCTGTGTGGAATAGCCCGTTTGGACTTTCTGTTTCTGCAGATTCAAGCCCCGCCCTCCCTGATCCGGACAGCTGCTTATCGCAGGCGGACTCCTTCCGGCCCGGCGCCGCCATGGTGAAAGGTGAGTCCCGGAACCATTCTTTCGGACTCGCAGAACCGGCACCTGGTCACGGTTTCTGCGTTTGGTACCAGGCCTGGCAGACACGCATTGGGCCGGTCGGAACCAGACGCTGCGGCGCGGCGCGCTGACCTACTTCCTGGATGGAGCCCACACCCACCGCAGCATGCAGGCCTGCGTCCAGTGGTTCCAGGAGGCCGCCCGCCCAGCCCCAGAGCGGCGCCAGGTGAGCCGGACCGGACCGGTACTGACCCAGGTCTGTGTGAAGCCATTTCTGTTGACCTGCTGCTGTGTTTCAGTGGCGCCGTGGCCCGGGTTCTGCTGTTCAACTCCTCCGGGCAAAGAGACGCTGCCGCCATGCTGAAGCTGCTGCTGGTGAGTCAGAACCGGGTCAGACAGAACCGGACCGGGTCCAGGTGGGCTAACGGCAGCCTCTCTGCTCTCTCCTCCAGCCGTGTCGTTTCGACTTGGCCGTGTTCTGCCCAACATCACCGAAACCGTCGCCTCCGGTAACGCAGGTCAGAGCCGCCGTCTGCTGCTGAGGGAACTGTTCGGTCCTGGAGGGAACTGTTCGGTTCTAGAGGGAACTGTTCGGTTCTGGAGGGAACTGTTCGGTTCTAGAGGGAACTGTTCGGTTGTGGAGGGAACTGTTCGGTTCTGGAGGGAACTGTTCGGTTGTAGAGGGAACTGTTCGGTTGTAGAGGGAACTGTTCGGTTGTAGAGGGAACTGTTCGGTTCTGGAGGGAACTGTTCGGTTCTAGAGGGAACTGTTCGGTTCTGGAGGGAACTGTTCGGTTCTGGAGGGAACTGTTCGGTTCTGGAGGGAACTGTTCGGTTGTAGAGGGAACTGTTCGGTTCTGGAGGGAACTGTTCGGTTGTAGAGGGAACTGTTCGGTTCTAGAGGGAACTGTTCGGTTGTAGAGGGAACTGTTCGGTTCTGGAGGGAACTGTTCGGTTGTAGAGGGAACTGTTCGGTTCTGGAGGGAACTGTTCGGTTCTGGAGGGAACTGTTCGGTTCTAGAGGGAACTGTTCGGTTGTAGAGGGAACTGTTAGGTTCTAGAGGGAACTGTTAGGTTCTAGAGGGAACTGTTCGGTTCTAGAGGGAACTGTTCGGTTGTAGAGGGAACTGTTCGGTTCTGGAGGGAACTGTTCGGTTGTAGAGGGAACTGTTCGGTTGTAGAGGGAACTGTTCGGTTGTAGAGGGAACTGTTCGGTTCTGGAGGGAACTGTTCGGTTCTAGAGGGAACTGTTCGGTTCTAGAGGGAACTGTTTGGTTCTGGAGGGAACTGTTCGGTTCTGGAGGGAACTGTTCGGTTCTGGAGGGAACTGTTCAGTTCTGGAGGGAACTGTTCGGTTGTAGAGGGAACTGTTCGGTTCTGGAGGGAACTGTTCAGTTCTGGAGGGAACTGTTCGGTTTTCATGTTGTTCCTCCTCTACCTGCTGATATTTGGTTCTGGACCGGCGGGTCCAGCAGAACTCTGGTGCTTCTATCTGAACATGGACCCGTCTCCTCTCAGACCAGCAGAACTTCAACGTCACAGTGGAGGCCATGCTGACCGGTTGCCTGGACAACGAGCGGAGCTGGCGTCTCCTGGGCGACGGCGGAGAAGAGAACGCGGCGCCGCTGCTGATCCGGGACGGACCGGCGCCGCTCGCCGAGAGGAAGGCGGACACGCTGTGTTCCCCTGCATCCTCAGCGCCCTCCGCTGGATCGCCCAGGGAAGAGACCCGGTTCTGACCCAGCCGGCCCAGACGGCGGCGCCCGTCACACCCAGCATGGCCGCCAAGGCCGCGGCGCTTCGGGACGCCGCACACGTCCACATCCTGGTGACCGGCAGCCTGCACCTGGTGGGAGGCGTCCTCAAACACCTGGACCCAGAGGACGGGTAGACTGGGAGCGTGGGTGATCTGGGACGGGTCGGTGCTGCTTTACTTCCAGGCTTGGTGAAAATGGACCTTCCAGGTGGAACCCGGTTCTGTCCCGGTTCTGAAGCTCCTCTCTCACCAGCCGGGTCGTCTTGTTGTTTTGGACTTTCTTTACTTTCCAGGTGGTTCTGATCAGTGATTGGCTGCCGGGTACCATCGGGTCACAGTGGTCCAAACCCAGTCCGGTCTGCGTCTAAACCCAACAGAACCGTGACCCAGCTGAGCTTCAGAACCAGAACCCGCTGAGGAGCCCCAGCAGGGGTCCGTTCTGATCAGACCGGGCCTCGAGTTTCCGAGTCTCACTTGAAGCTGAACTTGTTTACATGAACCGCTGGTCTCTGCTGGACGGGTCGGCGCTGCAGAACCGGACCCAGCAGAACCAGAACCTCTGCCTTCATGATCCCAGTCTGTCTGTGTTTCTGTCTCTTCCACTTTGTTCAACACTACTGAGGATGGTTGTGGTTCTGATCCGGTTCAGATCAGATTTAAATGAGCCTTAATGTAAATGATTACACTGACGCCTGCAGGCGGTGAGAGGTACTGCATCAACATTATTCAGCCTTTATCTGATCCAATCAATGTTGGTATTGATATATTAATTCCATGAATTTCTCTCTAAACCTTTGGCAGTCAGACTACAATGAAGGTGTCATAAAATGTTTAAATTATGGATTTATTTTGAAGATGATGGTGCCAATAATAAAAAAATTTAATAAAAAATGGTTTCCTGCTTCCAGTTTGAACTTTTCCTGTTTGAGTTTTTTCTGCAGCTTGAAAATGATTAAAAAAACGAAGGTGAAGCCATGAAGCCAGTCAGAGAAACTAAATTAATTAATCAATAAATGGATCATAAACAGTTTGATGTTGAAATGTATGTTCAGTAAACATAGTTTAATTTGCATGATACAGGTTTTGGAGGATTTGTTTTTCTGTGAAAATGATGTGATGTAAAGGATTTTAATGCATTTATGATGCGGACTTTATTAACTTCACAATAAGGTTGGGTCAATTTGCTCACAGAAACTGATATTTTATGATCTCTGAAAAACATAAGCTACAGTCATAATAATGGGACTTTATTCTAGGATTATTGTGACTTTTATTATTTTCTGGTGGAACCGGATAAACTTTTAATTGAATGATTATTATGCAGGAATAAGATTTTTTTTAAATTGTGTTATCAATGCTAAAATGAATTTCAATCTTTTAATTTTCCAATATTGAATTTTTCAATGAATTTTAACTGTGAGAACTGAGTTTTGACCGTGTTGTTGTGGAGAACATGTTTAGATCCTGCTTTGTTGTTCTCCAGCCCAACTGTTGAAAAGTTACTGGCATCTTCCTCAGCCAATAGGAGCACAGCGCTGTGAGCGTTCGCATGCCACCCAGCCAATAGGCGCGCAGTGGGCGGGGCTTCGTTCCCGGCTAACGTAAGCGTTGTTTGTCGGAAGAAGAAGCCGATTCTGGAAGCCATTACGCTGCGCTCAGAAAGTGAGCAAATCGTACTATTTTTGCGTACATTACGCAGGCTTACCTCCGCCAGGAGCTGCTCCCGCAGGTATGGCTTCGGCCGCCAAGAAGAGGAAGATGAATTTCTCGGAGCGGGAGGTGGAAATCATCGTGGAGGAAATAGAGAAGCAGAAGCAGACTCTGGTGAGCCACTTCAACGCGGGAGTCACGCACATGGCCAAGAACAACGCCTGGATGGACATCCTGAAGAAGGTGAACGCCGTCACCACCTGCCCGCGCGAGCTGCCCGAGGTCAAGAAGAAGTGGTCCGACATGAAGACCGAGGTCCGCCGGAAGGTGGCCCAGGCGCGGGCCGCAATCGAGGGCACGGCCGCGGACTGCGCTCCGGTCCCGGTCATCCTCACCGCCATGCAGCAGCGGATCTGCAACCTGCTGGGGGAGGCCACCATCATCAGCTTACCGGCCGGGGACCCGGAGGCGGAGGGCGGCCTGCCGGTGGCGGTGAGCGCCGCGACCACCGTGACCCTGGCGGAAGGTAAACACGCCGGGGTCAGAGGTCACCTGCCCCACAAACACTCAGAAGTTATACATTATATTAGAAATGTTATGTGTAAACATACCACCATAAATCGATTTAAAAACTTTGTCAAAATAAACTTTAAAATAAAAAAATACATTTAAAAAATAATTTTAAAGGTTTTTTCTTTAAAAGATACACTGATAAAAAAAATTAAAATAACTTGTAAAACTATTACAACAATTAACACTCATTAGTACGAATAAAGACTTAAAAATAAAAAGATGATCAGATGATGTTTTTAAAAAAACATTTAAATGCGATTGGGCTGTTTGGTAAGTTAACAAGTTATCACAAATTTATAAACTGATAAAAATGACACATTTAAATAGAAACAGGAATAAATTCAAGTAAACGCGTTAATAAATCAACAAATGAACAAACATTGTTAAAATAATTTAAGGATAGATTAAACAAAAAATCATTACTGTTAAAATATACATCAAAATTTCTCTACTGAGATTTAATTCTGTATTACTGAAAAAAATGTAATAATAATAACAATTATTATTATTATTATATTGCATCTTTATTCAAATTCAACAACAGATTTTATTTATAAAAAGCTTTTTAACTTCTCAAAGTTAAAAAGCTTTAAAATCCTCTGATTTTAAACCACCATGTCAGCTGTGAGCTCTGCTGTAGATCTGAATGAGACGCTCTGATTGGTGGAACTGTGATGATGTCACCACCCAGCTGACGTTAACCTCCATCCTCCATGTTGTTCAGCTCTTCCAGGACCAGCAGGGGGCGTCTGTGAGGAGCCCAAGCCGCTGACCGGTAAGTTCCCCGTCCCGGACCTGCTGAGGTTCTGCTCCAGATCTGAGCTCAACCCGTCCGTCTCGTCCGCCTGCAGCTGAAACCACGTACCACGCCCTGGAGGACGGCGGCGTGGTGGAGTACTGCACCGCCGCCGCCGTGGGAGACTCCGCCCCCACCGTGATGGCCGCCGTGGAAACGCCGGTGGAGATGCTGGCGCCGTCGTTAGCCTCGCCGGCGCCGCCGCAGGCCAAGCCGCAGGAGCTGAAGAGCCGCATCGCCCTGAACTCGGCGCGCCTGCTGCAGGAGCAGCGCGTCACCAACGTCCACATCCGCCAGATCGCGCAGCACCTGGAGGGGCAGAACGAGCTGCTGCAGGTGATGCGGCGCTGCCAGGAGGCGCAGGCGCTGGCACAGGAGCGGCAGGCGCAGGCGCTGGAGGGGACGCAGGCCGCGCTGCTGGCGCTGGTCCAGATGCTGCGGCCCGCGCTCAAAGACCTCAGGAAGTTCCTGCAGAGCGGGGCGGAGCCGGCGCCCGCGGCAACGGCGCCGGTCGCCGCCGCCGCCGTTGCAGAAGAAGAACAGAGCCGGTGTAAGAGCCCTGCTGCAGCGCCACAGCGACCCGACCCGCTGGAGGAGACGCACTGACCCGAATCTGGTTCTGACCCGGTTCAGACTCGCTGAAGGAGACACACTGACCCGAATCCGGTTCTGACCCGGTTCAGACTCGCTGAAGGAGACACACTGACCCGAATCTGGTTCTGACCCGGTTCAGACCCAGTTCAGACCCGCTGGAGGAGACTCACTGAGCCAGTTCCAGTTCTCAATCGGTTCTGACCCGGTTCTGATGCCCAGCCTGGTTTTACAGGCTGCAGACAGGATGCTGCAGTGCTGCAGTTGCACCACTGGGGGCGCTGTGTCCCCACAAACTCTGAGTTTTTTATGAATGCAGTTCTGTTTGTGTCTGTAGACATTAAATCATTTTTAATAAATAAAATCTGAATTCTGGTTTTTAAGCTAAAAACTGAACATAGTGTCTGTGTGGAGGAAGTGACATCATCTTGTGAGCGTTGCTATGGAAACAGGTTGTCCTCCAGATTTCTTAACTCTGATGAAACCAGGCCTACAGTGAAACATGGGGGCGGCAGCATCATGCTATGGGGATGCAGGAGCTGACAGTCGTCAACATCTGGAGGGAAAATGGCCGCCAGATGTCTCCATCCAGCCTGATGCAGGAGAAGAAGAAAACTGAAGATCAGAGTGACCGGAGCAACAATTTACTCTGAAATTCATTTATTTTATTGAAATCTTATTATTTAAATGTTACTAGATAATTAATTAGGCATCTGATGTTACCTTTAATTATTTAAAATTGTATCTGTTTGGGCCTCCGTAGATCAGGGATCACATCAATATTATTCTGAATATCAGTTCATGACCCCCAGCTGGTGTCTCATGACCCTCTGGGGGCCCGACGCCCAGTTTGGGAACGCCGGGTCTACAGCAGGCGTTCCCAAACTTCCAGCCTCTGATTCCCAGAATGACTTCAAACTATGAAATATAGTCATTTTAAAACATTCAAATAATTACAATTAATTGATAAATTACTGTTGAAATTAAGGCTTTCACAAACATTTCACATTTTCTTCCATTTATTTCTTTATATTTCTTTGTGTAGTTGAGCAGTATTTTCCCTCAGGGCCCCAGGCCCCTGGGCTCCCTCTTTGGGGTCGCCGGTGGGTTCCAGGTCAATAAACATTTCTGTCCTAAAAATAAATTTAAACTGGTTTTAATTTAATCTTTACATTTTCTAACTGAGCTAAAATCTTCAGAATTAGAAAAAAACAAAATAAAGTTCCAGGTTTAGACCTGGTGGCAGCAGCAGGGGGAGTACTTAGTTTACTTTAGTTCAGTTTAGTTTAGTTTAGTTTAGTTTAGTTCAGTTTAGTTTACTTTAGTTCAGTTTAGTTTAGTTTAGTTCAGTTTAGTTTAGTTTAGTTTAGTTTACTTTAGTTTAGTTTACTTTAGTTCAGGTAAGTTCAGTTTAGTTTAGTTTAGTTTAGTTTAGTTTAGTTTACTTTAGTTCAGTTTAGTTTAGTTTAGTTCAGTTTAGTTTACTTTAGTTTAGTTTACTTTAGTTCAGGTAAGTTCAGTTTAGTTTAGTTTAGTTAGTTTACTTTAGTTCAGTTTAGTTTAGTTTAGTTCAGTTTAGTTTAGTTTAGTTTACTTTAGTTCAGTAAGTTCAGTTTAGTTTAGTTTAGTTTAGTTTACTTTAGTTCAGTTAAGTTCAGTTTAGTTTAGTTTAGTTTAGTTTAGTTTAGTTTAGTTTACTTAGTTCAGTTTAGTTTAGTTTAGTTCAGTTTAGTTTAGTTAGTTTAGTTTACTTTAGTTCAGTTAAGTTCAGTTTAGTTTAGTTTAGTTTAGTTCAGTTTAGTTTAGTTTACTTTAGTTCAGTTTAGTTTAGTTTAGTTCAGTTAAGTTCAGTTAGTTTAGTTTAGTTTAGTTCAGTTTAGTTTAGTTTAGTTTAGTTTAGTTTAGTTTAGTTTAGTTCAGTTAAGTTCAGTTTAGTTTAGTTTAGTTTACTTTAGTTTAGTTTAGTTTAGTTTAGTTTAGTTTAGTTTACTTTAGTTTAGTTTAGTTTAGTTTAGTTTACTTTAGTTTAGTTTAGTTTAGTTTAGTTTAGTTTAGTTTAGTTTACTCAGTTCTGGTTTGATGGCTGCGCGCTCCCGCGGCGGCGCGCGCGCTCGGCGGGCCGCCCCTCTCTTTGAACAGGTCGCTCGGTTCGGTTCGGTTCGGTTCGGTTCGGCGCGCCTCTGACTGCGGGGCTCCGCTGCGGGGACGAACCCACACATGTCCTGAAGATCAGAACCAGGAAGTTCGGAGTTCAGATCCGGTTCTGACCCGGTTTGTGCGGTGAGTTTGGCGGTGTTTGCGTGGCAGAGCGGTTCCAAACTGCTGCGGTTCGGAGTTGGTCCGGACCGGGATAACGTTCTGGTTCTGGTCCCGGTCAGCAGGATCCAGCAGGAATGATTCACCGACCAGAATTCTGCCTCCTGTAGAACCGGACCCAGTCTGTCCTGCGTGGTTCCGCTGCGGTTCGGCTGAGGGTTCAGCTGGTTCTTTGTGGATCATGGCTTTTCTGATCAAGAAGAAAAGTTCAAGTTCCAGGTCCACTTCGTCCTGGAGGAACTGGCCGCGGTTCCGTTCGTCAACGGGGTTCTGTTCTGCAAAGTTCGGCTGGTGGACGGAGGAGACTTCAGCATCTCCTCCTCCAGGTGAGTCCGGCCGGTTCCGGACCGGTTCCTGACCGGTTCCCAGTCAAACCGCTGACTCGACCCAGTTCCTGCTGACCGTTTGTTGTCGGTTCGGTTCGGTTCGGTTCCGGATGGCTTGGCGACCATAAAACCTGCGACCTTTAGTTGTCATGTTGATCCGCCTCACACACCCTGAGGGCCGGTTGCTGCGGGAACTTACAGACATAAAGAACGTTCTCTTAAAGGAACGACTCAAACTCTTCATTCAGAACCGTTTCCTTCCAAACCGATTTCAAACCGATTTCTGCTCATTTAGGTGATTTTCTGTTGCTAACTATCATGATCCTCAGTTCTCCTCACGATTGATTGATTATTCCAACGATTAATCAATTATTCTGCCAATACACTTTTGACTATTAATTATTCTAATGATTAATTGAATATTGTAACAAATAATCAGATAAATTGTCACATTCTGCACATTTTTCATTTAACCGTTTAATCCTCTTTTATATAATATTAGAAATACATTAAATAAACGTTGAAATGATTTGAAATAAATAATTTCCTTTAGTGAAGGTTTGATCGGCTTCAGCTAAACGCCCTGACATCATGAGAGGCTGCTCAGTTAGCGATTAGTTGACAATTACGTCATAAATCGATCAATCACGATTAAACCGACTAATCTATTGAAAGGTCAAACTTTAAATATCCTGCTGGTTTCTGGGCTGTTGGAGGAAACAGGAAGTTTACCGAAAGGCATCAGAACCAGAAATAAAAGCGACTCATCCAGTCAGATGATCAGAGGCTGTTTGTTGTTTTGATGGAAACGCAGAAATGCACCGATCGGGCCGATACCGGCTGATACCAATATCTGCTTTCTTTGACCGAGTCCAGTTTCAACTATTTTGATTTAAATTAAAAAGATGGATAAAGTTCTGCAGCTTCTTTCCTCTGGATCTTAAAATTAATGCAAGAGGAGACTTTGACTCAACAGAACCCGGTTCTGTTCCAGCCTGAACCCGGTTCTGTTCCAGCATGAACCCGGTTCTGTTCCAGCCTGAACCCGGTTCTGTTCCAGCCTGAACCCGGTTCTGTTCCAACATGAACCCGGTTCTGTTCCAGCCTGACTGATCTGGACTCATGACTTCATCTGCTCTCTGTTTGTTGATCTTAGAGTCTCTGGAAAAACCTGCTGAATCGTTCTGTTAGCTGTTAGCAGTTAGCTGTTAGCTTTGCTCCAGCCTGATCAATTCCTGCGAAGCGCCACACCTGGAGTCACCTGTCAGTGTGGAACATGAAGAGGATCCGCCACAGTTAGACTGAAAGTAGAGAAGTTAGGAAGATGCTAATCCTGCAGATTTTATCTCCTCTTCTGATTTATATCTTGGTTTTTAAGGTCACAGATCAAAACAGAGATCACCATTTTAAAGATTTGGTTATTGATCTGTGATTATATTTAAAAACAACAACAAAAATAATCTAGCAGACGGATTTTATTCCCTCCACGTCAGGTTGTGTTGCTTCAGAAATGAGTTTCCAGTTCCTCCCCACCAGGTAATCACGGGTTAGTCTTCTGTGTTCCACCTGAAATCTTCCCCTTTGCTCTGCAGCCAATAAACTTTAATTAGCTCAGATTCAAAACAACGCAGCTTTGAGACACATTGCTCTCAACATAAATGCTAAAACTCTGATGTTTATCTTTCTAAACCCTCATAAAAATCAAATCGACGTCTTTGGGTTCATGTTCAGCTAACATATTTAAGCAGCTAGCAGAGGCTACGCATCACATAGCATCACAAAACTGTTTTCATTTTAAAGTTAAAGGCTGATGAGTTTCTCCTTTATGAAATCAAAGGTTTCATGTTGACTTTATTATACTAGCTAGCTAGCTTCATAGCTTTGTGCTATGCTGCTTAGCTGTGGGCAACTGTAACCAGCTGCGTAGCTACATGGTAACAAGCTGTTAGCTCGTCGTGACTGATTCACACAAGAATCATGAAGTTTCAGTAAAAATCAGTTTCTAGACTTGTGTGGACGTTAGCTGCTAGCATGCTACTCCTTGAAATGTTTAAACTGGTATTTCATACTTCTTAGCTCCAGCTAGCTTTAGTTAGGTGTTTATCCATTAGTTAGTGATTTATTAACTATTTCCTAGCCAGTTGTGAGGTTGTTACCCTGCTAGTTGTTCAGCTGTTACATTTTGTTCTGCGTTATTTTCAGAAACAATAAAAGTAAAACTGCTGGGCTTGTTTCCACTTTGTTATTTTAGACCCATATTCACATTGGTGCCATAAACAGTCAGAACACAGAGTGAAATATTTATAACTGCTCCATCAGAAAACATCAATAAAAAGACTTGGTCACATTTTCCCCGGGTTGAAACGGAGCAGCAGCAGCAACACGTGTTGCCTTCAGGGACAGAGGATCTGCAGCGGCTCAGCCTCCTGGCTCTGCCTCACAAAGGTGTGCATGTGTGTCCAGGTGGGCCGGGCCGAAAGCACAGAACCTGCAGAACCAGTCGCTCCGCCTGGCTGCAGTCGATGGGGGTAACACATCGAAACCGTCTGAAGGAAGGAAGTTCCCAAAGCATGAATGGAAAAATGATTATTGACAGAAATGTTTTAACTCCTGAGGAAAAACTCAGTTAAACATGAAATGTTTCCTCTCGTGGATGAAGCATCTCATGGGGAGTTACGCAACAGCCCCCATGAAATATAAAAC